GGAGTGCCTGGCGCTTCAGCTCCCTGGACCCACTCCCACCATCATTGCTGTTATTTACCGTCCCCCTAAACTGCATTCTGACTTTCTATCCCAGTTTGCTTCACTCCTAGCCCATTTATCCACTCTGTCATCCAAAATAATGCTGCTGGGTGACTTCAATATTCACATGGACAATAACACGCTCCCCATCACTAAGGACTTTTGTTCATGTCTCCATAGTCATGGATTTTACCAACACATCAATATTCCGACCCACAACAAAGGACACATCCTAGACTTAATCTGCTGCTCCGGTCTCATTCCTCTCAACTGCTTAGCTACTGATCTCCACATATCCGACCACTTCTTTCTTTCATTTTCTCTCCAACTACGTGTTAGCCATACTAAGACACCTAGGGATGGGTACCTTTGACATTTGAATCGATTTGGTACTAATACCCGGTACCTACGAATCGATACCGGTACTTAACGGTACCAATTTTCGATACTTTTGAGTGTTTATTATTTTAATTCTTTTATAATTACATTTATATTTTTCTCAATATATAACAATATTTGATAAATATCACGATAAATAACATTCAACTGTTTGTATTTTAACATCGTCCTTGTAGTTTTATAAGCTGATAATTTAACTGAAGCAAACATCTTTACTGTGAACTAAATTTACTGTGTATCTTCTTTCCTTTTGCCGTCTTTTTTCATTTGATTTTTCCTACTGGGAAGTTAGAATTTCCGAGGAGAAAGCGAACGCACCATTAGCTGATAACAACGGTGGCAATGGAAGCTAACATATCAAGCTAACGTTATCTTTAACAGTTTATTTAACTGCTGGAGCAGATTAAAATGATGATGCCTCACACTTAGATCGTTGTCGCTGGTTTCATCTTCACCCAATCAACCGTCGCATTTAGTAAAGTGAAGCCAAACTGTAGAGCGCGTTCATGTTTATCTAGTCAGAAATTTGGAGTTCCGAGGAGAAAGCGAACGCACCATTAGCGAAATGGAAGCTAACATATCAAGGTAACGTTATCTTAAACATTTTATTTACCTACCGGAGCAGATTAAGATGAGGATGTCTCACTTAGATCGTTGTCTGTCGCTGGTTTCATCATCACCCAGTTACCCATCACATTTAGTGAAGTGGACCCAAGCATTAGCGTGCGTTCTTTCTACCCATGCTGCTCTGTTTACAACTCGCTCGCAGGGGCCGACGACATAACGCTCTTGCGCATGCGCAGCTGTCTTGGCAAGTTCTCGTTATGAAGGACGGGTACCGAAACGAGGCACCTTTTGAAATGACGTGAATCGGTGCTCGGTCGGTACTATGGAATTCGGTCGGTACCTTAAAAAGTACCGAATTCGGTACCCATCCCTAGACACCACGTCTTATTCATTTTAGGAAAATCAACGACATCAATCTAGACACTCTCTCTTCACATCTTTCAACTATTCACTTCATTGACAAATTCTCCTCTCCCGATGAACTGACTAACTACTACAATTCCAGCCTACAAAACATCCTTGACACCTTGGCTCCATTAAAAACCTGTACTGTGTGTTTTTCCACCTCTGCCCCCTGGTTCACATCTAACCTCAGAACATTAAAAGCTGAAGGACCCCAGCTGGAGCGCCTCTACAAGAGAACGAGCCTCTCTATACACAAAGACCTGTACATCGCCCACCTAGCCCGTTATAAGGATTCTATTTCTCATACCAAATCAGATTACTACTCCAGTCTCATCAACTATAACAACGGAAACTCCAAACCTCTTTTCTCAGTCCTCCATGAAATTTTCAATTCTCCCTCTTTACTACCCCCTCACTTCTACTCCACTGACACCTGTAATAGCATCCTTTCCTTTTTTAACCATAAAATCACCCAAATCCACCAGAGTCTTAGCCCGGCTGACCCCCACGTACTTCCCCCTGACGATCTCACATTCTTTGTATCCTTCTCAGACTTCTCAGTTCCTGATGCTTCTTATATCTCGGATTTAATATGCAAATCCAAGCCCACCACCTGTCAGCTTGACCCACTCCCATCCTCCCTGGTTAAATCCTGCCTCTCATCCCTGTTACCCTTCATTTGCTCCATTATTCATGCCTCCCTCCGGACTGGAATCGTTCCCTCACCCTTTAAAACTGCAGCTCTAACCTGGTTTCTCAAATAGCCCGGCTCAGACCCCAACAATTTCAATAACCTTCGCCCCATCTCCAACTTACCATTTATCTCTAAGACACTTGAAAAATTTGTTGCTAACCAACTACACTGTCATCTATCCAGCAACTTCCTCTACGAAGTCTTCCAGTCTGGTTTCCGCCCCCACCACAGCACAGAAACGGTTCTGATCAAAATCACAAACGACCTCCTTCTTGCAGCAGACTCAGGCCAGATTTCCATCCTCGTCCTACTCGATCTCAGTGCAGCATTTGACACCATCTCACACACAGTTCTACTCCATAGACTATCCACCATCAGCATTTCAAGAACTCCTCTAAATTGGTTCAAATCCTATCTATGTAATCGCACTCAATTTGTCCAACTGCGCACCTTCCACTCTAACCCCAAGCCAGTTACCTCTGGAGTTCCTCAGGGCTCAGTCTTAGGTTCCCTTCTCTTCATAATCTACTTACTCCCACTTGGCAATATCTTCAGGAAATTTAATATTCATTTTCACTGCTACGCCGATGACACCCAGCTCTACTTCTCTACCCAACCAACCCCCCGCTCCCTTCATCCTCCCTTCTCAGTTGCCTCACCGAAGTCAAATCCTGGTTTTCCTCCAACTTTCTACAGCTCATCAGTAATAAGACTGAGATCCTCCTCACTGGCACCAAGTCATCTCTATCCAAGACCAGTTCATTCTCACTCAGCTTCGACAACACCACACTTCTCCCCACCTCCAAAGCTAAGAGCTTGGGTGTCATCTTAGACAACACCTTATCCTTCATTCCTCATATTAACAACACAATAAAAACTGCTTATTTTCATCTTCACAATATCAATCTGCTCCGCCCCTCCCTCAGTCAGCACTCCACTGCTATTTTGGTCCACAGCCTGGTCACCAGTCGCATCGATTACTGTAATGCCCTCCTCTCTGGTCTTCCTCTAGAATCACTCAACAAGTTACAGTTAGTCCAAAATTCAGCTGCCCGGATAATCACTAAGACCTCCACTTTTGATCACATTACCCCTGTCCTGCAACAACTTCACTGGCTCCCTGTCAAATACAGAATTGACTATAAGATACTTCTTCATGCCTTTAAAGCCATCCATAATCTCGCTCCCCCTTATCTTTCTAATCTCTTCCACATTGTCACTCCCACTCGCTCTCTCCGATCATCATCTTCATCTTCCCTGTCTGTTCCTCACACTTGTCTCAGTACTATGGGAGCCAGAGCTTTCAGCCACTCAGCTCCAAAACTCTGGAACACTCTACCGCCTGACCTCCGCAATATAAACTCCTTCCCAACCTTCAAGTCTCAACTCAAAACTCAACATGTTCCGCCTGGCTTACTCATTGTAACTGTCCTCCTTCCATCTACTCTTTTTAGTCTATTATCCATTGCACTGCTCCGACTCTACTCTTGGGAATTACTCTTAGCATTTATTTCTTGTTGTTTGTATTGCTTGCTGTTCCTTATATTTTGTCTTGTACAGTGACCTTGAGAGCTTTGAAAGACGCTTGAAATAAAATGTATTATTATTATTGTTATTATTATTAAAAATTGGTCCAGTGTTCCACGGCTGGTTTTTAAAATAAAAATACTCATGAACTTGCACCATGTGTCCATTTTCCTTTTGTACTTCTCCTTTGGTGTTTCAGTTTTGCAAAGCAATTCTCTGTCAGCACAACAGGGGATGTAGACCTTTTCTGGTGGGTCCGCCTACCATTGGAGTGATGTATCTGGTTTATTTACGTCAGATGTAAATTCAGATTGAAATTTAGATTCTTGTGTTTATATTGGAATTTGTTGTTTCTAATTTGTTAAAGTTAAAAAAGAAAAGCTTGTAAAAACCAGTCCACTCAAGGAGCAATGTCCGACAGAACGAGTTTTCATTGAGCTGGAACTGCTTCATCTCGAGGAACAAAAACTTTGAGAACAAAGAATTAATTGGAAACAAAAACACAGCGGTGGAATGTCCGTCTACTGATGTTGCTGCTATTTTGGGACGGAGCAATAGCAGACGTGCATTCTGTTTCATTCAACAGATAGTTGAAAAATTGCGCACTACTTTGTACGTCCTTATGTGCTTGTCGGAGAGCTCTTGCCTTGACGGACAATGGTGCTGCGTGTCTTCCCACCTTCACAGACAAAGAAGTATTAACTAGGCTTCAGACTCGACTCGCCTGACTCATCTCTGGTGGAAGGCGACACACAGCCCTGCCAGGACATGCTGTGCTCATAGACAACAGGTCTGTCACCAAAATCAAATAGAAAATGTAAAACAAGGCAGAATATACCGTCGTACACTTGGTAGCCCGGCTCTGGCTTCCCTTTATTCGCTGAAAACACACAATTTGCACATATTTAAGTGGCCATCCTATGTGCTGAGGAGGGGTCAGAGGACAGTTTGATGGATGGATTATGATACAATCAAGAGTGCAAGGTTCCTAATGATTGATGATGTTTCTCCAGGATTGTATGTTTCAGATCAAAATTACTGAATGTTTTGATAAAACATTTAGTTTTTTGTTTGCCATCAGTATGTGAGGAGCATTCTAAGCAATAAGGCTAAAATGCCCAAGATACACATAAAATTTCCCACCTTTAAGGCACAAAAATCATTTTAAACTAATAATTCTCTTGAAAGAAACTTGTTTTTACTGTGCCCTTCTTAATTTGATTTTAACGAGTCCTTCCTAATTAAAGGTCACAAAAGGTATTTCCATGTGTGATTGTGACTAACAACCGGTATGGTTATGTCATCTTTGCAAATTGTTGTAGCTTTTTATTCCTAATCGTCTCTTTTATTTTGTATTTTCTCCCTGCAGTCATCTGCCTGGTTGGTCTTGGGCTCGTGGTGTTTTTCTTTAGCTTTCTTCTCTCCATCTTCAGGTCCAAGTATCACGGATACCCTTACAGGTAAATGCAGGATCAAATAGTCCCCTGCTCGTTCACCTCTGAGGCTGACACAAAGTAACTGCAAAGACTAAAAAAAAACCATTTTCTTAAACTAGACATCTATTTGGATTATTAGTTTGGTTTAGTTTGGTTTGTTCATTTCAACTCGCACTAACCAACAAGTATAAGACAGAAAAACAAGTTGAATCAAAAATCTGGAGTTTGATAGATTTCCCTTATGCTTTAAAGGACATTCCATGTGTGCTCACCCATTTCCCCATCCAACCGCATCATTAGAAGTCATGGAGCCATGGCTGATTCCCTAAAGTGGAAGTGTTGGAAATGTGTGGACAATAATTCCTTGTGGCTTAGTGAGCCAGAACAGCAGCAATTTGCTCTCACTTTTAGCTAAAGGTCAGCAGCACTACATAAAAAAAGACTTAATGTGAGACAGAAAATACTTCTCGTGTCTGCGAGGCTGGAGAAGCTAGGATATTACAACACAACAGCCAGAACTCCCAGCTGAAACAACACTACATGGCTGGTTCGTCTTTGGAATGCTGAGGGTGAAGCAACAGGACTGATCCTTTACCATTGCTGGATAATGAGTCCTGTTTTTACTCAACCTTTCTATAGTCCTATTTTGAAAGTTTAATGAAATATTCACCAAGGAATGAACGAATCTTGAAAGGAAACTGTCAAAACTAACCTAGATTTTATCTACATGTTTTAACGTTTATTTCTGCTGTGCAGCGCTTTGTTTGGTCCTTGGGCCATGTGAAGGCGCTATATAAATAAAGTTTAGTAGTAGTAGTAAAATAGTCCAACAATCAGCCACAAGTTTCGACTAAAAATGTCTGTTGTGCGCATGCTTTAGTGTATCAAATAAAAATGTGATGCACTCTGATTAATATTATTAATATATGAGAAAACCAAGTGCTACTCTGAGGTTCGATTGGGTTGCTGGAGTGTACTTTCTCCTTGGCAAATCACATCATCTTTTAATGTTTTAAAAATAGAATTGATATTAAAATTTTATGAAGTTTTTATGTTTTTACCCAAAAATAATCATCTTTAAAATTCCTGATTTTATCAGTTTTTAGTGTAAAAAAAATCCTCCCAACAAAACAAATTTGTCCCAAACTACGAGAGCCAACTGCTTTAAACTCCGTGCTGTAGTTTGGCTTGTCCCCACACAAACCCATGCCAGCATACATTATGATGGGGATGAGAACAATCCAAGTCATTTTGTTGTTGTTTTGGTCCTGAGATCAGATGGTGCGCTTTACCGCTGCTCACGCTGAGCTCCAAGTAGAGCTGATTTTAAAAGCTGTTCTGTACGTTTGATTGCAGCTTCCTATGTTTGATTCAGGAGCATGCTGTGAATTCTGAATGGTATATAGCTTTAGCACATTCAGAGGCAGGTCTGAAACATCCTCTCATAAACACGAGTTTATTCTCAGGTTACCGGATCTAAAGCTGGGTTTATTTTTCTGTTTTTTGTTGATCTTTTTTTTTTTTTTGCCTCAAACAAACCAGATGATGTGAAACATGATCCCAAACAAAAACTGCTTTAATACCTTAGTTCTTTTCCACCTCCTTTGTGTTTTTCTCTTCAACAACTAATCAGTTTACTTTTTATGTTTTGCAGCTTTCTTATTAAGTAAAAAAAGAGGAGTGAAGAGGAGGAGGTCAGAGGATGATGAAGAGGGGGTGTCGACGGAAAAAGAAGGAAGAACATACTTGAAAAGCAAAAAGATTCACTGTTGAGGCTGCATGGTGGGCTTTCTTTTGTCTGTTACTGTTTATCGTGTGCGATCGTTTAATCTTCAAGGTGAATAAAATCTGTTTTTTTTCTTTGTACAGTTAAAAATAAAGGTGTGTGGCTTGCCTCTGAATTTGTGTTGTTTCTTGCTAATTCATCAGAGTGAAAAAAGTATCTTTTTAACTCGTGTGCAAAGGTCTTCTTGTTTTACCTTCTGAAAATATCTGTCATTTAATTGTTAAATCCTGTTTAAACTCCACCGAGAGATACTTCATCATGTCTGAATATCTGTTTCAGGATGCTAGCAGCTCTTGATGCTGTTTATCTTAAATATTTATGACCCAGTCAGCTTTTTGTAGATTTACGAAGGAATAGAATAAATAAATCTGGTGCTTTAGAGCTACTCCAGTTTTCCAGCAGGATGAAACACGCTCCTATTTTGTCACCCCTGTAATTGCACTGAACTTTAATTTAAGATGTTCAGATAAGTTCAGATAAATCTCAAACTCATGGCTCAAAAGATCTTTTATGAAACAAGAACCTTTTATGAAACAAGAACCTTTTATGAAACAAGACAAATACCAAGAGACTCGAGCTAGAAACGTCAGAGGGGACAGTGACTCTTGTTTAGCATAAAAACCTCTAACTCAGCTAATCAACTCATTTGAGTCGCTTTGGACAAAAGCGTCTGCTAAATGCATGAACAGAAACGGAGTTTACTGAAGAATTCCTGTTAAGTGCTGCTATCATTTCTTACTGCGTGAGGTCAAAGGTCATTTAAAGAATCTGTGCATGTCTTTTTCCTTCTACGTGTGAACTGCCCTTACAAATACTGAGTGGGCTGAGCACTGAAGCCATTTATGTAATCTGCTGAGAGTGTGTGTGTGTAGGGAGGGAGGGAGCGAGGCGGCAGTTTGACAACTATTGAAAATAAAATGATAAATGACCCACACTTGTATAGCACCTTTCAGAGTCAGGGGACTCCAAAGTGCTTTACACTACAGTATCATGCGTCCACTCACACACTGATGGTGATGAGCTACAGTGTGGCCACAGCTGCCCTGGGCCGCACTAGGGGGTGCGAGGCTGCTGAACACAAGCGCCACCAGTTGGTTATGTGTCTTGCCCAAGGACACAACAGCAGAGTTCTCTGTCCACTGCTGGGATCGAACCTGCAACCTTCCCATTACTGGACAACCTGCTCTGTTGAGCTACTGCTGCCCCCAAATACTCCCTTTCTTCTCTGTTTTACTCCAAACGAGCCGATGATCGTCTCTGTGAGCTGGTGTGAGATAATTCTTTTATTTTTCCTGGGTAAAAAAAATCCACAGTCGCTGGTTTAAGAAAAGCCGTCTTACAAGAGCGATGGCAGAGTTCCAATAACACCTTCTGTTTGGGCTTTTGGTTTAAAAATAACATTTCCTATACTTACAGTGGAAAGAAGGGCAGTTAATAGATTATGGGTTTTTTTATATATTTTTTTATCTCGTCTCCATAAAAAAACTTCATGAGCAGAAATCCACTTGAATGCAACAACTGAACAATGCTGATCGTCAGCTCTGACAGCACAGAAGTATATAAATTATAAAAGTGAATTTGTTTCTATTCCCTAAACTAATGATTATACAAGACAAGGTATGAATGATGTAATGTGATGGATATGAAGTGACTTAATGTAATGTGTGGAATGATGGAATGGAAGCTAGATGTTTTAGTAAAACCATTCTTAAAGTGACGGTGTGTATTTTTCCTGGCGATAGGGGGCAGTAGATACTTAAATTGTTGCAAGCAAGCGGTATTTTTGTTTTGGAGTAAGACCTTACCAACAGATGTTTATTAGGGTCAAAAAGCCCTGGAGAGTGCAAACTTCAGCAAAATAACAAGCACATCAGACTCCCTTTCATCACTGGCAACGAGTGAAAAGATAAATGTGTAAAACAACAATATTTATGAATAGTGAAAGTGTTGTAATAATTTGTTACAAATCAGCAAATGCAATTTGTCCTCATGGGCTCCCGTAGAAGGAAAAATGGCATCTAACATGGCATTGTCCAGAGACTTAGACCCACTCCCATGGATTTTAGACCAGATTTTTATGGTTATATAGTACGTAGCTGCCAATATTTTTCAACAACTGGGCATCGTTTAATTAATTTTGAACAACATTTTGATATTTACAGAGATTAATGGTTAAAAACTACACGCTGACTCTTTGACGCTTTGAAGCATGAATTACGAAATATTCAACCTTGATTTTTTTAACAATTTTTTTCATTCATCTTTAGGTGTGAATGAAACAAATTTCAACAAATATTTTGTAACATTTAATAATCTACAAATAGTTTATTACATGGCCACCTCAGTGGACAGCACGCATTCTGAACATGAAATATGTTGGCTTGACTTACTGAAGTCCAAATGGAGGGGCTCAAACAGCTCCAATTTGCAAGATTTCACAGCTGTTCATGCTCAGGACGCTGGGAGAGTCTGGGCTGTTCTGAAGGTGGTGTAGGCTCTGCTAGCCGACAATACTTTTAATGACCAGAGTGACGGAAATGTTTAATAAACCTTTGCAAAGAGGATTCAAGTAGATCAGAGCTTTTTCTTTCAGGACTCATTTTATCTTCGTACAGTCAAAATCCAATCTTCCATATTCCACTGATTCATGAAAATGTTTGATACACCTGTAGACCATACATGTTCTAAGTGCAGCTCAGGGGTCATTTGAGACCTTTGGGGTGATGTATTTATTTTATTTTATTTATTTATTTATTTTTGCGGCTCAACAGAATTTCTAGAATGATCTCCAGTAGCGTTGATGTGGTTTGACATTTTTATGTTCAGATTTTTCCTAACATGTTTATTTTGAAGAGTAAACAATTAAGTAAAAAAGGAATCACAGTCTCCATAAAACCTTGTTTGCCTGTTTCAATGAAGAAAAGTTGACTGTTTTGGACATTGTCTTGAATAGTTTGGACACCCCTGCTTTCAACTATCATCAGTTTGCGTTACAATTTATTTATTTATTTGAAAATATGAAAAATATCCTGCTGGGCGGCTGCGCAGTGGTTAGAGCTGTTGCCTTGCAGCAAGAAGGTCCTGGGTTCGCTTCCTGGCCTGGGATCTTTCTGCATGGAGTTTGCATGTTCTCCCTGTGCATGTGTGGGTTCTCTCCGGGTACTCCGGCTTCCTCCCACAGTCCAAGATGATTGGTCTGTCTAAATTGTCCTTAGGTGTGAGTGTGTGTGTGTGTCCGTGTCCGTGTGTGTGTGTGTCCGTGTGTGTGTGTGTGTCCGTGTGTGTGTGTCCGTGTCCGTGTGTGTGTGTGTGTGTGTGTGTGTGTGTGTGTGTGTGTGTGTCCGTGTGTGTGTGTCTGTGTCCGTGTGTGTCCGTGTGTGTGTGTCCGTGTGTGTGTGTCCGTGTCCGTGTGTGTGTGTGTGTGTGTGTGTGTGTGTGTGTGATTGTTTGTCCTGTGTGTCTCTGTGTTGCCCTGCGATGGACTGGCTCTCTGTCCAGGGTGTACCCCGACTGATTGCCCATTGACCGCTGGAGATAGGCACCAGCCCACCACCAGGGGCGTCAGACTGGGGGTGGGGGGGTGGGGGGAAGGGTACCGTTTACCCAGGGCCCACTGCAGGGAGGGGCCCTGAGACAGCTTTGAATAACAATGTTTTATTGATGTTGTTCCCCCCCCCCCCCCCCCCCCCCCCCCCACACTTACTTAATGTCTTAATAAACTTCCCTTTACCTGGATAAAGAGGTTAAGAAACAGAATTTTGCCTTAAAAATAATAACTGAATAATCTCTGAGGCATCTATCACCCCTTAAAAATGTGCAAAGTGGTTTAGTCCACACCAGCGGCCAGGGGCTGCACGCCGCATGTACAGCTATGAGACATCGCAGATGCCGACAGCCAGAGCTGGAGGCAGGAGAGTCAGTCATGTCTTTTCCCAAGAAAGGGAAATCTGGCTTCCAGAAAAGAAAAGAAAAGAAAAGGAGAAAAAGTTAATTGAACAGAAGCAAGTATTGACTAGGTTCTTCAAGAAGGAAGGTGAGCAGCAGCCAGCAGCAGAACACAGTTTTAGCTGATATTAGCTAGCTCTCAGAAGCTGCATTCATGTTAGGTGTTCAGTGTTAAACGCCTTTAATGTCACCATCAAGATCAAATATAAATTAATTAGTGTTATCATTTGATAACACTAATTAATTTATATATTAATTAGTGTTATCATTTGATAACACTAATTAATTTATATATATATTAATCAGAATTATTATCGCGGGCGGCCGCCGCCAATTAATTTGCGGACCTCGCAGTAAAAACAGGTTCACTCTGTGTGGAGATTTCAGCTCCTTCCCAGTCATGGACCAGGACAAACTTGGTATCGATGGATTCGTGGTAATCTCAGGAATGAGAAGCTGCCACTGTTTTTCGTATAGCATGATGACACTGGTGTTAGAGGATTGTTATTGACTTGGTTAGATATTTTAAGCCTATTTTAAATTTCTTTATATTTGATCTTGAAAACGGACAATCTTATAATTTGGCTGATAATGCAGGGATTATAAAATTTAGAGTACATTACATTCACAGAGAGAACCTGGTTTATTTCATGTCATATGTATTTAATATATCAATATATATATCAGTATCAGCAAAGCTTAACATCATGAACCATGACAGACATGACTGAAGAGCAGATGAAGATATCATGCCAGGCACTGATGAGAAAATATTACAAGGATCTCACAGCTGAATTTGAGAATGAGATGCTACACCTGAGAACAATATATGGTGCCACATTTCCACACATTCGGTCTCCTCTTGAGCTGCTTAATGCTATACAGGATGCAATTACAGAGCATTTTTGGAGAAGTTTGTATTGGACTGAGGATATTTTGCACACTACCTGTGACTGTTGCTGGGGGTGAACGGGCTTTTAGCAAACTGAAACTGGTGAAAAATTATTTGAGATCAACAATGTCCCAGGATAGACTGAACAGCCTAGCTCTTCTTTCTATTGAAAGCCAATTAGCCAAAGGATTGGACTTTAAAGATCTCATAAGTGATTTTGCTAACATGAAGACCCGTCAGTGGGCATTTAGTGGAAAATAAATTCCAGGATTGTTGTT